TAGGAGAAGAAATTGTAAGAATGGAAAGAATTAGAAAATAGGAAACAAGGAGGATTTTTCTCCATTGATTCCTCTAGTAACACCAAATCTTCAATAATAGGAAACAACATCAATTACTGAAAGATTTTCCTCCACTAATTCCACCATTGAATCTTCAATACTCCCCCTCAAGATGGAGCATGAATGCCCAACTTGCCATTGATATGACGAGTAACAGCAAGTGTGAATGATGAAGAGAGAAGAAAGAAGACGAAGAACAATGCTCCCGAACACACTGACAACCCAAACAAGTCAACAAAAAACTGCCGGAGACACGGCAAAGGCGAGAACAATGCTACCGAACACACCGGTTAACCAAAGAAGTCGATAAAAACTGTCGGAGACACGGCAAAAATGAAGACAATGCTACCAAACACACCGGCAACCCAAACAAGTCAACAAAAAACTGCCGAAGACATGGCAAAGGCGAGGACAATGCTACCGAACACACCAACAGCACATACAAGTCGATAAAAACTACCAGAGACACGGCAAAGGCAAAGAACATTACTGCTGAAGAAACCAATAGCCCAACATGTCACAAATAACACCGAGAAACCCTTTGCAACATTTCAGATGCTAAGGGAATACCCCAAAATAGGGTTCCGAACCTAAGAAGAGAAATTAGGCTCTGATACCATATTCAATTTGAATGCGAAAATAAGAAATGCAAATAGGGAAAGGGAAGAGAGAAAGATGGAGAACGCATGCATATACATGGTTCGGCACTAAGACCTACATCCATGGACAAAGAGCCACTAAGGGCTATATTTTTATTATTCAGATATATTTTTTGCTTTAGTACAAAGAGCTTATATATAGGCATGGTAAAAATAAGAAAATAGGGAAGGTGTACAATAGTCAAACGAGGAATCATGATTAGTGGAAGATTTTGCCCCACCGTTATATAGAAATATTTATAGTTGGAAGGAAATTAACCGGATCACCGTGATTGGTGGAGGATTTTGCTCCACAATTATATAGAAATATTTATATATTTCAACATATAATATAGAAGTAGAGGTAGGCAAAGAGAGAGAGATTGAGAATTAGCGTTTTTTGGGGAGGAGTGTTTTGAAAAGACTTCTACAATCTGTAAAAAAACTCATTGCTTATAATAAAATTCAGGTTAGTCAATTTGGGTTTCTCTTCAAATTAAAACCACTTCATCACTTGTCTTCTTGTTTTCATTACTCACCTCAATCACTTTCGAGCACAAAACTCAATTGCTATTATTATATGTGAGGACTATATTAATTCATGCATTATATATTTTTTATACATGATTTTCAATGAATTTTTTGTTAAAAGCTTAAATAAAAAAAATCAGAACACCTCATTATTTTATGAGGTAGATATACATTACAAAACATGTTTCTGATTTACTATTTGCAAAATTCAAGAAACAAATGAAGGTTACCAAACACTAATCCTGCTTTCAAATAACTAAAAAATAAAAAGAAACGTCAAGAAATAGAAATAGGAAAAATGAACACATAAGCATAAATGTTATCAAACGACCCCTCAACTTTTGAAATTTGTAATCTACGCTAAAAATTAAAACAAAAACATTCTACGAAAATTACCAACCTAGGTACTATTAACTTAACAATCTCCCCCTTTGGCAATTTTGTGATAAAATCATTATTAAAAAAAAATAAAATATAAAATATAAAACTGAATATTTCATCAAAAAACAAATAAAAAGACTCAGCAATATTCTTTTTAAAAGCTCCAATGATTGATAATGTTAAAGAATATTTTTGTTTTTTTTCCCCTTTTTTATATGGGTAGTCTAGCTAGCATTTCCTTTATTTTGGCTAGATTTTTTAGGGCATATTATATTCTTGTACTGAAAAAGGTGTAGACGTATGATTGAATAATGCAGTTCACTTATTGATTGCACAAATTTTGACATGGTACCTGAGCTGCATCGATTCTGGCCCTAGATTGTCCATAATCTACCTCAAAGCATCTCAACTGCATCGGAAGAACTCACAATCGCAAGCCTTAATTGCATCAACTGCAAGACCTCACTTTGTTCATCTGCTTGATTCTCTCTATTCAATCTTGCAGCAATTGCAAGCCCTTCATCTTGTTCATTTTCACACGACTTTGTTTGCAATTTCACATAACGTTTTTTTTTTTTTATGAGTAACAATTTTGCATAACTTTGCTCTGTGATTCCGCATGATCATCTCTCATCGCAACTTAGTTTAAGTCGCAAATCTCTGTTCGAAACTGTGTCGATTTTCTACCCCAATTCTTTTTGGATTGGCACAGTTCTCTTCGCACTAGTTCACTGTTTGGTCTCAACATTTGATATCGTATCTCATGAACTGGCCATCACAACACTTCTTGCAATTCCATTTCTATTTTGTTTTTCAACTCCAATGATTTTCTGTTTGCATCAATTTGAGAACTCGTAGTTGATATTCGGTTCTTGGCAATTAGAATCACAGTACTTGACTCTTCTCCATTCACTGTAGATTTTGGATTTGAATTATTTCTAAGAGATGGCTAGTGGAAACAGTGATATTCTCTTCAGGCTCCTAGGGAACTCTAGGCACGAGGCGCACGGCGAGGCGCACGCCTGAGTGATGTGAGGTGCACAAGTAAAAATTTAAAACAATAATTCTCAACAAAAAGAACACAATTAAACAATAAACACCCAGTAATAAAAATACTAAATATATCACAATTAAACCAATAAAGCAACCAGCAAAATAGCACAATTAAAACAATAAAGCTCCATTAAGAAAAACAGCAAATGGAAGATATTTAGTTTCAGTTTTGAGTCATAAAACCAAACAATCTTAAGGGACCTAAAAAATTCAGCAAACAACATGCAGCAAGATGCATTCAACATTGCAAACAACATTCAGCACAACTTAACAAACTGAATTCAAAAGAAGAAAAAAACAGAACAGAAAAAGAAAAAAATAAAATAAAATAAGCAAAAAAAAGGCAAGAATGGTAAATTCATACAAGAAAATTTATTAAAAATAATTCAGCAAAATACATTTAGATAATTCAGAAGGAAAAAAAAAATTAAAAAAAAAAAGCAGGCTAATCCCTTTTCTTTTCTTTGTTTTATTCTTTTATTGCACAAGAAGACAAAGTTCACTGCAACAAACTACTCCCCTTTCTTTCTTTCTCTGCTTTTGGTCGGTCTTTATTTGTTCCACTCTCTCACGTTTCTCTATTGTATCCATCTTTATTTGACCATTGCTTTTCTTTTCTTTATTTTATTCTTTTATTGCACAAGAAGACAAATTTACAAAAGCTCCTTTTTATTCCAGCACATGTGTGCTGAACAGAATTCTTTTATTGCACAAGAGGACAAAGTTGACTGCAACAAACGACACCCTTTTCTTTCTTTCTCTGCTTTTGGTCTTCCTTTACTTGTTCCACTGTCTCACGTTTCTATTTTGCTTTTCTTTATTTTATTCTTTTATTGCACAAGAGGACAAATTTACAGCACATGGATAAGTCAACAGAACATGGAAAAAGCTGAACAGCACATGGATAAGTGAACAGCACGTGGAAAAAGTTGAACAACACATGGATAATTGATCAAGCGCGCCTGAATAAAAGCATGAGGCGCGTCCCAGGCGTGCGCCTAATGAAGGTCGCTGCGCTTGGGCTATTATGAGGCGCAATTCATGCGTTTGTAGGCGCCTAGCACCCAGGCACGCCTTTAATAACACTGCCTGCTAGAGGCTTGGAAAGGGTGTAAAGTGGAGAGCCGAGTCCGAGATGCTTGGAGGGTCACTCCCCTTTGTCTTTGGTGGGGATTGTGGCACGAGAGAAATAGGAGACCCTTTGATGGGGAGGAGTCTCCTATTTGGTCTCTCAAATACAATATACTAGCTTGTTTATTCTTTTGGGTGAAGGGGCAAAATTGTATATCTATGGATAGTCTTTTGGATTTTGTGGATAGTTTAAAGTTATAGTGTCGATTTAGGCAGCTTGTGTAACCTTTCAAGAGCGCTCCCCTTTTGAGCGCCTTTTCTGAATTATTACTTATAAAAAATAAAAATAAAAAACTAAAAAATACTGCTTTAGGGACCAGTATACATGGAAAATTATTGTAAAAGAGAAAATACTTGATCTTGTTGCTGTATTTGAGCCTAAGTTCATCATGGAAATTGGGATGCATTTTTTTTGGGTTGATTCTTTTGTTTTAATTCTCCAGAGGAGAATTCTTCTCGGATGGGGGGAATTGGTTGAGAACTGAACATGGCTCGAGAGCTTGAAAAGTACATGACCTACACCTACTATTGGAGGAGTGGGAAAAACAGAATTAGGGATTTTTGTCCATTTATTATTATTATTATTTTAGTAGTATATTAATTAGAGGATATTTAAGTAATTTAGTATTTTAAGGTCTTATTTTTAGTAGTAGAGTTTTATTAGGATTCTATTTTGAAGCTTATATAGATATGGGTTGATAAATTGAGAAGGAACCTTTTGATGATTATTGAATATTACTGGAAATGGCTACAATGATTTCTACCTCCTCTTTCTTCTCCTTCTCCTTTATTCTTATTCTTCTCTCTCGTTCTCTCTCATTCTCTCTTTAATTTTGGTATCGAAGAAACCCTACCCGTCCTGCACCAAAAGTTATATATTGCCTAGGTATATACTTAACTAACATTATATTTTTGAAGGAGAAAAAAAAAAAAAAAATTGAATCTAATAAACATATGGTAATTATACCACAATCATGAAACCCTGATCCAATTATAGACGGCCCTGATTTTAATGGTCATCCTTGGGCATCAATTCTCCAAGAAGTGAAAGAGAAATAAGCAACATAAAAAGTTAACATGACAAAATGAATCTATCATATAAGACAATATTCATAATTTTCTGCTAGATCCTGGTACTTATGAACTACAATTTGATTATGATTTAGAAGTAGTTCCACATTTACTATATGGACATAAACAACTTACCAGATCTCGTTGCTCTGATATATTTTTGAAACTCTGTTTCTGGAGGCTTTTTGTATGACATCTTATCACAAATTTCATGGTTCATGACCTGAAATAGTGAATTAGGTAAGAATGCATTTTTTATAGCGAAAGAGCACAAAAAAGTGAAAAACCAACAAACAAAGAAAAGGAAAATGAAAATACTGGAGGAAGATCAGAGATGGCATCACTGAGAACAAGAGCTTTTTCTAAATCCCGAGATTGACTTTCATCATAAGCAACAACACTACGCTGCAATATGGAAATAAGTCAGCAATGATAATTAATTAGTTAACCTCAATGTTAGCGTAATAAGAACATAGTGAGCACCTCAAACTCACTAGGCGCCCCGTATCTCAAAACCACATCATGTGTAGGAAGTGGAAACTGGGGTAATTTCTGCATAGAAGAAAACAATTAAGAAAAAGTCTTTTGTTTCAACCAAAACATTATACCGAGAGATTACTTGCCTCATGACAATGAGCGCCCCACAAAAAAACACGCAAACGGAATTGAGGAAGACCATAACAACCAGAAGCCATAATTCCTAGCCTTGCTTGGTAATTCATACGAACCAAACGACTTATAGCATATCTTCCAAGACAACCCTTGGCAAACCTCAAAATGTCAACCACATTTTCCATTAGAACATATTTGGGCTTTAAAAAGTTCACAATATCCATGAAGACTACAATTTGACGATTTCTTTCATCATCCAAAGGAGAATCAACATTTCTATGGCGGTTGTAGCCACTTATTCCTTGACATGGAGGTCCCCCACAAATAACATCAACATCTCCCTACAATGTTTGTTGCCAAAAGAAAGGAAACGTTTTAGAAGCTGTCACTGTAAAAGCAAGAATATATTAATAAGATACAGATGCAAGATAGTCATATAAATATGAAATTATTCTCTACTAATGAAGAATAAGCTAGTAGTGTCATTTGATCCCAAATAAATAGATCTTACCGGTTGTGGCAATATTTTTGCCTTAAAGCCTTTTAACACGAAATCTTGTATACGATCTTGGCATTTACTGATAAAAAGTAATTATCAATAACTACAATCACCAGAACAAAGCAAAAACTTTACAACATACTGGAAATAACATACCTTAACCCCTCAACTGGCTCCCACGTGTCCTCACTGGGACCATATCCCACCCAACGCACCTACGAAATAAGTATTAGCAAAGACAGCAATCATTTAACCTATCACATAAACCACATATACATGAAGAAATCAACATTAAACATCTCAAAACATACTCCAATTGAAAAAGTTTTCATTTTATAATAAATTTAGGGTTTTATTTTTTTTGATAAGTAAAAATAGAATAGAAAGCGTTCAAAAGGGGAACGCGTCCCAAGAATGCCCAACCCTCCACAAAAGAAATTCTGCTGAAGCCTTTCAATCCTTTCTGCCACAGAGGCTGGGATCTGAAAGAGAGAGAGTATGTGGGAAGACTCGCCAACGTGCACTTCATAAGGGTGACCTTCCCGCCCTTCGAAAGATACTGCTTCTTCCACCCAAGAAGCCTTTTCTCAAACCTCTCAACCACAAGGTCCCAACCCGGGCCCCATCCTTCTTGACGGAGAACCCAAAGGCAACCCCAAATAAGAAATAGGGAAAGAGGAGATCCCACACCTAAGTACCGCCGCAAGATCAGCAATGTTATGCACCTACCCCACAGGGACTAAAGAACACTTCCCCACATTCACTTTTATGGTAAACTTAATCCATATGGCCAATCCCGTTGGTACAGGATAAAAAGGAAAGGATGATGATGATTTAGGGTGAACTTAAAAAGTAATTTTCAAAGCCACATAATTTCCTATGGAACTCACCAAGACTGACATAAACCATCAAAACACTAAACTTGTTGGTCAATAAGACTCAGGTTGGTAAATTTCGAACAAAACAAAGTCCTTATTATTTATTTCAATTTGTTTATATTTTTTAAAAAGACAACCTAAAATCAAACAAAGACAAAGCAGCCTGTGATTCAGCAATAGATTGATCAACGCACAAAAATGCTCGACCAAGGGAATGAGTCACAAGATGATCTGCAAGCCCCAATGATAAACGAGACAGGATGCAGACGAGAAAGAGTAACGTAGGACAGAATTAACACTTCACTCTATTGTTCCCTCCTCTTACCAAAAATGCTCGACCAAAGGAATGAGTCACAAGATAAACTGGAAGCCCTAACAATAAACTAACCAAGACGCGGGGACTAGAAAGGGGAGTAATGTATGACAAAATTAACACTTCGCTCCATTGTTTCCTCGTACTAAGGGTGATTCAGGTTAAGCCGTGTGGCAATACGAGCAAAATCAAAGGACTTTTCACCTTTTGTACTCAAATCCACATGGAGAGATTACTTAGCGCACTAAAATCTAGTGGATGTGGTTCAATATTCAAGAAAAGCAAGGATTGAGCTATCAATTAGAGATTTCAAAAATTCAGCTAGGGTACAAAGGTAAATTCAACTATCAATTGTGCACTCGCCGAAAATAATTTCATATTCATGCATTCTTATCACCATTTATGTTTGATCTTTACAAATTAGTATAGAGTGCGAAAAGATTGTGAAATTTTATACAACATAGAACCTCATTTAGAGTGTGTTTTGGATTACAGGACGTTTTTCTGATTTTGAAAACCTTCTGTGGAATTTTTGAGGACTCGAGGGTATGAATTTGTAAATTTCTCAGTGCATGCATTTAGTGTACACAGGAGCATCCCCCATGCATTCCAACAATGCTTGGAAAGAAAAGTTTGTTGATGAAGTCAATAAAAGATACAAGATGGTTATGATAAAATGAAGAAAAAAAAGCTTTTCCTATCATAGAAAAGTTGATACGAGAGTATTCTGTTTTAAATCATTAAAAAAATGAAAGAAATGAAAAAATAAAGTCTTTCCTTTTTCTTTTTCTTTTTCTTATTTTCAGCTCCTAGGGTGGTCTACCCATTTCTTGTTCATGTAATACAAGTGGGAGTGACTTGAGAACCTTGCTTTCAGCTAAGGTGAAGTTTTGTAATTTTGGTAAATTTTGTGGGTAATCAGAGAAAGTTGTGATAATTTTTGAAAAGTTCACGTCGATAGATTTTATGGCACTCGACCTTGCCTTTTGTTGAATTTTAATCCTAACAATAATTTTGAGAAAATTAAACTAAAGTATTATATATTTTTTTCTTAGTTGGTTCTCACACTCACATGCCTCTACTGAGGCTTGACCCTTGACCTCCCTTTGGGAAGTAAGGGTCTGAGGCCACTGGCCCGTTGGTAACTAAAGTATTATGTATCAAGTTAGTATTTGTCATACTGCGGATGTGATGACCCAAATTTCCACAATCCGGTGCGTTAGCGAGTAACTCGAAAACCCGACCCGATATCGAATCCAAAACGCGGAAACGGTAATAAACGAAGAGATTGCTAGAGACAACTACCATCTCAAGGACAACAAGAGAACCCCAAATGGAGTTGAAAACTCCACCCGAATACAATGCGGAAGCGAAGAATAAAGGAATCAAAATCATTTCCTAAAACGGAAGCAAAAGGGTAAAATATTCATTAAAATGAAAGCCTAGGGTAAAAAGATCATTTCGTGACAAATATAGCGGATGGGGTGTGTACCATTGGATAGCTAACAAAAAATTTATAAATTTAGACTCAAGAATGACCTCAATCGGATTTAAAATGAAGAAAATATGGTCGTTTGAAAGAAGGGGGTCAAAGTGCAAATACCAAACCATCTAACCGGTGAGATGACTCATCTAACCGGTGAGATGACTCATCTAACCGGTGAGATGACTCATCTAACCGGTTAGATGGATCATCTAACCGATCAGATGAGTGAGCCCAGAATACAGCAATCTGCCGAAGACCATCTAACCCGTTAGATGGCTCATCTAACCGATCAGATGACCTCATCAAACCGGTTAGATGGCCCATCAAATAAGTGAAGAAGAGGAAAATGAATACTACGAAGCCTGTGTATCCGGTTAGATAGTCCCATCTAACCGATTAGATGAGCCTAAAGCAAAAATAGCCTGCTAAAGAACTCAAATGCAATGGACCTCAACTAGATGAATCCCCAAGCATGCCCAATGTCCCAAACATGATAAAAATGTCCAAACTAAATGCCTAAGCATGGCAAGGACAATTCTGAACCAAAATGAGTGAAACCATACATTAAGTGTGCAATTAAATGTATATATACATTGAAGATAAAATGGCCTTAAGGCCTCAAATTACGTTTCTTCCCAAGAATCAAATATGCTCATACACTATAAATGAAACAACATCATTTCAAGTATATACATGAACTCGAATACAAGATCCGAGATAGCTCCAAGATGAAAGGTTTTAAAGATGGAATGAACTTCATCTTTGGTCTTCATAAGATAAAGCCAATTATAACGACTAAAGTCATCAACAAACAAAAAGTAGCAAAAACCGAGTAACGAAGTAGTAGATTCAGGATCCCACAAATTAGAATGAACAAGTCATAAAGGAGTTGTACTCTCATTAATACTAGTAGGATAAGAAACACGACATTGTTTGGCAAGAACACATGTTTCACAATTTAACTCAAAAGATTCAACAGAAGCAAATTGGGGAAGCACATGCTTCAATACATGAATTGGTAAATGTCAGAGTCTATTATGCCATCGCATCAATCTTTATTGACATTGTTATCCCTAACACTAGACTGATTTGCAACATAATAAAAAGTGGGCTTTGAGTTCAGCAAATACAGGACATTGTCCCCAAGTCCACTCCTAATCGTCTTCCTCGTGCCAAGTCCTGGGAAAAAGGTTACCCCACAATTCAAGCCATTTCTAATGTGACTGCTACCTAATTTGATTCTTGTCCCACTTCAATGACAAAAAGAATGTTATTTGTAAACTTTGGGACATGAAGAAGAGATGATAAGGTAAGATTAGGAGAGGCAAAAACAATAACCTCCCCTGTAATGGAGGAGAATGTGTCACCAGCCACTCTAACGTTATCCCTACCCGAACATAAACTGTACGAAGAGAAATCAAATGCCATACCAATCATGTGATCACTGGCTCCTAATCAATGATCCAAGGTTGTCCACTAGATAATGTAGAAACATGATGTGCCGAATGCTAAGAAGCATGGACACGGATACTACACGACACGGACACAGCGACACAGCAAATCCAAAAAAATTAGGACACAGACACAGCGAATAGTATATATATATATATATGTGTGTGTGTGTGTGTGTGTGTGTGTGATGTAGTACTTTAAAAATTACTGAGTGTTACTATTTTTCATCAACCTCACAATGAAAAAAAAAAAAACACAAATCATAACTCTTAACTAATAAACTATAAGAGAACAATGTTGCATAGTTATAAAACCAAATAAAAAACAAGACATTAGAATAATAACTAGAATCATTTAATCATCATTGCAACTTTACTCCAAATACAAAAGCATAGACAGAAAGGACTATTAACATTCGTGACTGTTTAACATTCAGGACTTTACTGTTAGCACTTAACATTCACAAAAACCTAAAGGCTAGTCCCCAAAAAAGATACAAAAACAAGTCAGAGTACTATCATCTATTCCCATCCATCATTTGACCTAGGACTTTTACCATTTACAATACCAAAAAGGTAGTACAAAACAAAAAACAGAACATATCAGCATTAAAAATTAAAAAAAAAAAATTCCAGACACGTGTGTCCGCGGAGTGTCCAAGCTGTCTCCGAAAATTAAAAATAAAAATAAAAATATTCCAAACACGTTTTTTTGGTGTGTCCGACACGTGTCGGGGCGTGTCCAACACGCGTTGGACACGGATTCTTCGCACATTTTGGCATGTTCATGCTTCCTAGGCTAAATGAGAGGTACCTATCTAATCAAAGTTAAAGGTGGAAGTGGAGGCATTTAGAGCTAGCAGATGTTGAAGAGCATTAATTTCAACCCCAGACAAAGAGCTAGGTGGCCCTAAGAAGGCATTACCGGTAGAAGCAGTCTCATGCGCTGCAACATGTGTTGTAGATGACCCCCTAAATGGAGCAGGCAATGGCCTAGCTTCTCATGAACAGGGTAGAAGCTGGAGTACAACAACCGTGTAAATTCTAGCATATTTCCTAAGTGTGGCATATACACCCACAGTGGTCACACCTCAACTTTCTCTTATCATCCTCCTTTCCTCCTTTTAGAGGGTTGGGTTTGTTCCATTGTTGTGTAGCAAGAGCAAACCTTTCACAGTGGTACTTCTGACTTTGGCTTAGTGCATAGAGGCGCAGACATAGCCTTCATTCTACTCTCCTCAGGATATACGAGAACACCTTTGTAACAAAAGTAAGGGTTGGATACCCTGCCTAACACTTTTACCCTGGCATAATTACATTTCGGACGCAGACCACCCAAGAACTCATATATTCGATTCCTTTTTACCATAGCCCGAAATGCTTTAACATTAGTTGCACACGCAAGTATGTGGGCTTAGTAATGATCAACTCTTCCCATTTACCACGCAGAATGTGGTAATATGTACTAAGAGTTTGGTCTTCCTCCTTGAATCTTGAAATCTCTTGTTGAAGCTTATACAGTTTTGCAAAATTACCAACCGAGGAATATGTCTCTTTCAGAGCATCACATAGCTCTTTAGCTATATTCACAAACAAAAACCCCTGGTTGATGTGTGGCTGCACTAACTACAACAAACACATCATAACTAGTGCATTATTTGCACTCCGCTCTTTGAATTCAGGATCGCTCTTGGGGGGATCCGTGACAGTCCCTTCCACATGGTTGATCATCCTACGACCAGTGATATGCATATGAGCAGTTTGAGCTCACTCCATATAGTTCGTCTCATCCAGCCTAACAGTCGTAATTCAAAGGCCTGGATGGTGATCATTACTACCTCACAACACTGTACACACTGAAGACGACCTAGGTTCTTTTGAAGTCACCTCTGAACTAGACATTCTATCAAACAATTTATGGGTATGCACTCCTCAAAAACAGAACAACAAGAACCACCTTTAACACACAAACAACTACAACTAGAGAGAATACCGTCTTGTGAGATGCATAAAAAAATGGCTGCATAGTCACCACACCAATCCTAGAAAGCAACAAAGTATACCATACTAGAATACGAAGAAAAAAACCACCAAAAATAGGTTAAAAATAGTTGGATCCGCAGTACGTGTGGATATGATTAACACTACTTGCAAATAAACCTCATCTTGGAATCTCTTCAAAACCATAGGTTTACACAAACTCCCCCTAGGGTTTCAACTACACACCCTAGAGCTTTACAAACCATGCTCTGATACCATGTTGACTTTAAGAGATAATCAAAACAAGAGTAAAGTAGAAGATAAGAAGAGAGGGAAGAGGAGAAGAGAAAAAGAGAGAGAGATGGGGAAAGAGAGAAATAATGAAAGAATACTTTCATCCTTCCACCACATCTATTTATACTAAGTTTCAAAAATTACACATAAGCACCCTACATCATATAAGTAATAACAAATAAGCCCCTGACAATAAAAACTAAGTACCAACCACAACTAGCTAGAATAAGTTCTCCACGTTTCTTTTTGAAGATTGAATGAAGATTCATCTAAATCATCTTACATGTATTCAACTGTGTCAAAGTGATTTGATTGATAAGAATGACAAGTTACAAATAAAAACACTATGTCAAGCGTTTAAGTCCTCGAGAGTCATATTAGATATGCATACCTGAAATTTAAGCCCACGCTTCCCTGTTTCACTGGGATCACTATAACAAATATCAACCAAGCGTGCAACTTCGTATTCACCAGTTGGACTTTTATCAGTTTTCAAATGTATATCCTTATTAGCTGCTCTCATGGCCCTAGAATTTGGTTCATGTGTCTTTACACCATCGTTGACTACATATCGTTTGCAAAGTTTGTCCCATTCCTTCAATAGGTCAAGGAAATCCTCCGCAGATTCATTTCTAATCTGTAAACACAAGGACATCACACATTATGCCTTCATTGTCACGCCGCATTAACTTGGACAGGTTCAAACAAAAGAAAAAGAATACAAACTTCTGTGTCTGGATGATTTAACTTCAAGCTTTCACATGCTGATTTATCAATGTCAACAGCCCATTTCTATCAAAAAGGACGAAGAAATAAGGTCATATTACACATATAACACTACATAAATCCAAAAACAGATGTACCAAAAACTTATGATAATTTACCGTTGCAAGATCTACCCCAGAGAGTTTGGCACCAAGTGACAACCCAGTTGACATTCCACCACAACCAGAATAAATATCTAACAATGCTAGCTCTGATTTGTAAGGTTTACTAACTGATGTTTCCTCCAAATTAGCCTTAATACCATGTATATGAACGGCCTTCGTACAAGGAGACGGTGATACATTACAACTGTCTGCAGAATTATCTAACACCAATTTTAACACTAATGGGATCACTAAATAGGAAAACAAGATTGCAATATAAGCCAAAAAATCATAAGATAGTCCAAGCATTTAAAATAGGCGGTCAAGGTAAACAAGAAGTTATACCCAATTATGTTAGAATTAGGTTGCAAGTAAAAACTGTTTGGTAATAGTTATTAGGAAGTAACTAAAACTGACAAAATATACCGAATTACAGGATCCAATCGTGATTCAACTTAATAGGTTAACTGTAAGATCAAATAAATGATTTTTAATAACGATAACTTTGGATTATATTGAGTTATTGACAGTTTAAACATTTGTAGCAGCAGGCCAGTCAACTGTTTGAACCAATATCAAAATGTGACATGATGAATTTGAGTGGACAACAGATCACAAAGTGAAATTACAGATTGTGAAATAAATTGAATTGTAATCCATGTTCGTCCTATATTATTAACATCCAAATTCAATAAAATTTACATATCAATCATCATTATCATCATACAAAAGAATGAGGTCAACCACATGAATTTCTTTCTCCATTTCAAATTACCTCATCCTGTGTTAGTATAGGTCGGCCTCTTTATCTATTGCCTTCTATGCAAACTAATATTCTTTTTCTTACCGGTGAATCTACAGGTCCATGGTGTATATGTCAAACCACCTAAGCATGCTTTCTCTTATTTTATGACTAATTGAGACAACTACCATTTTTTCCCTCACAAGTTACAGCACCAACAATTTCTACATCTAATTGAATTTGTAATGGAATATATTTTGTCCAGTTGGGTTGATATTACCATCGTATCCACCTCTACCAGCACACTGCCATCATCATTACTTTATTGCCGTTTTAAAAAAACTGCATTTCTCCATAATCTCATCATCATTGTTGTTGTCTGCTATCACTATTTAAGAATTTGTTACAACCACAACCACCATCATGGTGTCACATTCAACTATTTCATACCCACCAACTCGCCATCATTAGGACGCAAGTTTTCAATAGTATATATAGTCTTCATTCAAATACGTATAATCATAAGATTTGAGGTCACTTTAAATACTAGAACCTTGGATGAAAGAAACTAGAAGCTGTTAGGTATATCATCAGTAAGAAAAAGAACTTGATACTATGTAAGTTACTGTCAAATAACTAGCTTACCGGTTACCATTGTACAGAATGTTGTGTAATCCACTGAGTATTTCATATCATAATAGAAATCACAGGGTGGAATAGATTTTGATTTCAAGTTTACCTGCCAAAAGCAAGCAACCTATTGATAAAGCCAATAATAGTATAATATGCATAAATCAGGATCAATTTTTTAAAATAAAAGGAAAGAGGGAGGGGGGGTGGGAGTGGGTGGGGAGGGTTCTACGTTACACTAAATAAGAAACATTAGGAAGAAGAAACAACAGTGAAACAAATTTAACATGCAAACATAAAAGCAAATACTTGAAACATACACTAGGTGCTATATGTACAATCTTGACTGTGGAAACAAGGCAATCCAATAAATTATCATTCATTAAGGTAGAATAGAATAGGCGCTTCTTGTTATGAGATGCTGCCTCTTCATTGATTACCTGAATAATACATAAAATAGGTAAGCACTAGACAATAGAAATATAAAACACCAAATAAAACTAAGCATTCTCACCGTATCTTCGGCTCTGAAGAACCACTGAACCCTAAAATAATCTTCACCTTCCAATGTTTTAAAAAATTCTAGTATCCTGCCTACAAAATTTTGTCCCCCTTCCTTGCCCTAAAAGATAATAAAAGAACCACCATAAGTTTGCACGAATATTAACATATAAAAAAAATAATTGAACATTACATCTAAATAGTTGGTGACCAGTTAAAGATAAGCATAGAAGAGACAAAGGTGACTATACCACAGCAGTTAAGCATATGAATCAAGAAACCAAGCAAAAGTACAAGAAAAAAGAAAAAAAGAAAAAGAAAACACACACACACACACACAACAAGCTTAACTCATTTCCATGACTAAAGAACACCTTATCATATGGATGGCTAGGGTTTAAATCATGTGTATCAATAATTCTTTCTAGAGTTCCTTAGCACAGAAACAGAGGTCACTGGAACTTGTTTCTTTGTGTATAATCCCAGTATCATAATTAATATTAAAATTTAAAACCATGGCATATCATTTTTAGAGTTTTCACCGTATCTGGAAAAAAAAAAAAAAAAAAAAAAAAAAAAAAAAAATTACTTTAAATCCTAGCTAATAGGGCATTTCCCAAATATGAATTGGGAAAACCAAACAAATACCATTACCAAATAATATAAGAGGAAAAAAAAAATAATGAATAAGATGACTAGAGGTCTTGATGCTTCTTTCCAAAGGAAATAATGCATCTAAACTCAGGGCCTCATTTACTTATCAAAAAAAAAAATCAGGGCCTCATTCGGCCATCTAGCCTGAAACACCTCATAGTTATTAACCTCTTGCAAGCCATTGACCGGGGGAGAACTTTTAAAAGAGATGTAGTCTTCCAAATCAATCTTGCAAAGTATGTATCATGTGATGTCCTAATAATGTTCTTTGATTAGCATTATGGATTAAGCTTTACTTAAACTAAATTTACATTTTGGACTTGGGGGTCTGGTACAACTTGTTACACACATTGAAGTTTAATTATAAAGTGATGATTTGTGGAATATAGAAATGAAGGAAGTGAAATACTGTAATATCCTGAATGTTTATTTGAAGCCTATTAATGCCTATTAGAGCTAAATTTCTTGGTTGAAATGTGCAAGTATAAGAAGTTTTGCAATTTAAAAGAAAATAATGAAATTATTTATTAGTTATCGGCTTCATAGCAGAAGGACAATCTGGGACGTTAGATTTTTGAGGCATTTTCAGGATTGGAAGTTGGAGGATGCCATTGGGTTCTTAGAGTTGCCATTGTGATGCGGAGGTGTCCCATATGATATTCCTGAGATGTGTCTTGATTTGGTTCCAAGTTGGCTCTTGCCTGAAAGTGAATGTGGGGAAGAGTGTTTTGGTGCCGGTTGGCGAGGTATCTGATATTGCTGTGTTAGCTGAAAGCCTTGGTTGTTGCATTGGGTCATTTCCTCTATTTCCTATTTGGGCTTGCCTCTTGGATCATCTTCAAGGAGGGTGGGATGTTGGGATCTTGTGGTGGAGAGGTTTCAGAGGCGATGGCGGGATGGAAAAAGCAGTACCTTTCGAAGGTGGAAGGGTCACTTTAACAAAAAGCACATTGTCAAGCCTTCCTACCTATTTCCTCTCTCTTTTCCAAATTCCCTCTTCTGGAGCGAAATTTTCTTTGTGTGTGTGTGTGTGCGTGTGTGTGTGTGTGTGTGTGTGGGGGGGGGGGGGGGGGGGGGGGTGTTTGGGCTCCAATGGGTTATGCGTAGGTCCTCCAGGTTTGATTCAGGCTTGTAGAGCATGTACAGTGAATGTTCAAGCCCGTGACTTTTGGAGGATAACGTTTGTGTGTTTGGTAGTGTTTATGGACAAGAATAAATAGGAGATCCTTTCATGGCAAGGAGAATCCTATTGGGGCGCCAAAGTTCTCTATTATTTGTTCTCTTTTTTTGCTGGGTTTTGGTGAGAAATTGTGAATCCATGGGGAAATAGTTGACTTTTTGGACTCTTTGAGAGTGTAGAGTATTTTTGGCCTTGTGTAGCTTTTATAGGATGTGTTCCCAGTTTGAACGCTTTCTAATACAATCTTACTTATTAGATTACAAGAAACATCCCAAACTCTTGATCCACGACCTATAGCTTAGATTTTGTTGATTGCAAGTGTTGGGGAATAGATCCAATTTACATAGTGTGTTTTTCGAGAATATGGAAACTGTTTATGTACAATAAAATGGAAAAAAATGAGAGAGAGTATGTTTTGCATATTCTCAGTCCAACATATTAGGGCATTAAACTATGTAAAAGCCATTATATCAGTCCATGATGGTAACACCCATCACATAATGACCATTTATGCTACATAATGGTCATTATCAAAATACTGCTCCTACTACTTTTAGTTTAGTAAGCACATCCCTCAAATGTGCGGATACCAATATTTACCAGCTTATCATCACATTCAAGGGCTATAAAACATGTCATTTGCAAGAAGAGGTATCTAGTTTTCCCCGTATTCCCATGAAAGCCCGTTGCTTCCACTAAAATCCCCATCATCAGTTCAAAGGAAAATAAGTAAAGTGATCAACCAGTCATGTTCAGGTTACGAGGATAACAATCACTGGAAACTATCAAGAAAATTACATAAACTCAACACTTTATGGCGTGTTATAAATTGCAATAGATATATAAAAAAAAAATAAAAAATTAAAAAATAAATAAAAAATTAAAAAAATTTGAGAAAAACAATTAAATGTTCTACCAAAAGTTACTCCTGATATTCATGAAGAATCACGAGAAAATAATGTTGAGAAGTATTGTATCTAAATTTTGTTAAAACAAGAGACAGCCACTCAACAAATGACATTAAATAATTACTAGAAATGCAAGAATAATGTTCAATTGAATTGCAAGAATAAGTAAAACAAATGAGCTTTACAATTTTTGACAAAAGTACTAAGGGAAGGGCATACTACTTGCCTTTACATAAGCACAATCTCCAAGTTTGAAGACACACTTTTCAATCTCAGCATGAGAGTAATGGCTGTTTACATTCAGAATCATCTCATCGTCATCATCGTCACTACATGATAAAGACAATAAATTAGAAAACAAGGAATCATGAACATAAAGCAGAATAACCAACGTTGCCTGGACTAGGTACATGTATTGGTATTGTGTCTAAATGTCAAAGCTTCCTACATCCCAAATCTTAGGTTACGTAGAGACACCATGAAATGCATCCAAAACTTGGATACGGATCCATGGACACACCTTGCACACTTAGAAACATAATATGTTACACAAAAGTGTTACGCATGAGGCTATTCTTCTTTTAAAATGTACTTGTACTAATCGAAATTAAATTACATATAGTGAAAAGGAGAGATTCCATTTATCTCAGAAGTAGACAATGCTTCTTCGCCATCACATTTAACCATTTCTTCTTCTCATTAGAGTATCCAATTGTTTGATATGGGTACTTGTGTCAAACACATATCTTATACCCATAACTATGTCAGCTCATGCAGACACAGGTGAGTTAAGGAGAATAGCAGTCTTATAGATTGATTACTTACTCAGATTTCAAGCTTTGACCCCTGTTTTGCTGGATCTGCAAAATCCAAGACAGGATAGAAAAAGTTAAATAATGAAATAATTTTTGTTTGCAAAAAATAATATTTCAAACAGATCAAAAGAGATGTATCTTGCAAAATATGTTGTTTTACAAAGTACTAACTAATTTGTTTTTCTAATTTAAAAGTGTTACTAACTAATAACCCAACCTACCCGGATGGTCTAACCAGTCAACTATTATGAACAAGTATAAATACACAACCCAGGGAAACTGACTAAGCTTTATGCCAAACCTTTAAATCATCTCGATGTTAAAACAAAGCAGTCCAATTTTTCTTTAATTCAATTTCAACATGTCCACCAACCCAGGCCAGACCAAAACATAGATATGTATATGTGTTACAACAAACACAGCAAACCCAAGAAACAATCACGAAACCCTAGCTCTCGCAATGAACACAAAGATTTACGTGGTTCGGCAAAGCCTACATCCATGGTGAAGATCCAGCGAAATAATTCACTATGCAAAAATCTAGATATTACAAATTTCAACCCCAAAACCCTAGCTCTCGCTCTCACTCTCTTTTCTGCGATTTTTAGTGTCTCTTAATCTCCAACTCCAAAACCCTAAACACCCTTTTATATCAGGCTACAAGAGAGTACTAAAAAGGGTCCACGACCCACAATCAAAAACCGAGTCAAAAGCTCAATCAACAGGCCGTCGAGTCGCAACGCGACCCGGAACCAAATTTGGGCCACAACATCACATTATGGTATATCCATACAGGTGTAATAGCAATAGACACATGTCATGTAAGAAAAATATTAATAATAATAACAATATAAAGCAACAAACAAAAAGTTTTGTGTATGAGAAAGAGAGAGAGAGAGAGAGAGAAGGAAGGAGAAAAGGGAGAAAATTTGAAAGATAGCTCAAAGACATGGGTTATCCTAACTTTCTCAACTTTTGAAAATAATGTTTTAATTTGTTAAAAATTAGAAATTTTCTATAATTGTTTCTTCACAAATATAAATTCAAGTTGTCAAATAATTTTGTTAAGCGTTAAATTAGTTGAAAATTGGTTAAATTTTGAAATGTGTTATTGTGCTGAAAAACTGAACTGAACAGTTTGGTTATAGGGCTTGAAATTATAGTACTTTTACTTGTTACTAGTACAAGACCGTGATGCATGTGATTGAAACATTTTTTTAAAAAAACTTCATAAATAAATTCACACTATTTATCTATAAGATACTAATGATTTTAAATAATGTTACAAATGAGAAACAACACACTTATTAAGACAAGATGACAAATTTATCAATCAATATAGTAATCTTTGTGAGATGGTATCCGATGTATGTAGTATGTGATTTCAAATTTTAATCAATCTAAAGGTCAAAACAATAGCATATGAAAGGAAGCAATGGATCACTACTAATGTTAGCAGAGATATGATAGCCACACTTTATGGAATGACTTACCATATTAGCAGAAATTTGATAGCCATTAATAATGGCATAGAATATGCCATAGAATATGCTGTGATTTGATTTAATTTTCTTTCTTGTAATATCAGCATCTGAAAAAATAAGACTTAGCCCAATAATGTGGAATATTTCTCTCTCTATCCTTCTGATCTCTTCTCTTCTCTACTCCGGCGTCCTCTAATTTCTTCCTCTCTTCTTTCTGGTTTCCGTTCTTCATCAAGAAGTCTTGGGGACTTGTGATATGCTCCGATCTTATCCCGATGTGGCGACTCTTCCACGCCTTAATCTCAATGGTGAGATCAAAACATAGTTGTCAAAGGCGCCGGAGGCGCGCGCCTGAGGCGCAAGGCGCCTCCAGGCGCCATCTCAGCGCCTCCAGAACCTTGAGGCGCATGGGTTGCAGAAGGCGAGCGCCTTTTATCTACAGGCGCAAGGCTAAAGGCGATACAAAGGCGCGCCTTTATTGATTTGTTTATTGACTTTATTGATTTGTTTTATTATTTTATTGTTTCTATATTATTACTTTTATAACACTTCGTTACCACATTAAAAAAAACAAAAAACGAAAGAATAAACACCAAAACAAAGTCGGAGACAGAGATCACAGAGGCGAGTGCGACGACTTGGAGTCTTGGACAGCAGTTACTCTCGGTCTCGGATCTGTCATCTGTGTCGGATCTGCTGGATCTACGCCGTCAGCGACACCGCGACTCTGCCGGTACGTTCTCTCTCTTCTTCTTCTCTTTTTCTTCTCTCCTCTTCCTTTTCTTCTTCTTCTCTCCTTCTCTTCTCGGATCTGTGATCTGTCTTAGTTTTTTTTTTTTTTTTTTTCTTTTCTTCTTCTTTTCTTCTCTCGACCGACTGTAGAGTCGAGTTTGGCAGTTTTTTTTTTATTTTATTATTCTTCTTTTTTTTCTCTATTTTTTTATTTTATTTTTTTTCTTGAGTAGCTATTAAGGTACAGAGAAGAATTATAAAACCATCAGGAATTCTATATGTATATATATAGTTCTGATTTATAAATTTCAAGGTTAACAAGGTGAATGAAATTATTTGATAACTAAATCGAACCATATCATAATTCATAGCACTGAAGTATCAAGTAACCAAGAAAGTTATATATATCAAGTATCAATCGAACCATCAGGAATTCTATATGTATATATATAGTTCGAATTTATAAATTTCAAGGATTCAAGTTAGTTGTTGGTATATAATTGACATAAACAAGAAAGTTGGAACTTTAAAGAGGGAAGTAGATTGGTTAAACCTTTTTGTAAAGAACCTCGTCATTCAGTTACCCCAACAGATTGATTATAGCCTGTATGTGACAGATTGAATGTAATTCTTTTTCTTGGTTACAGGTTACCCAAAAAAAAAAAAAATTATTGAAATCAGAAGGTATTTAATTGATTTTCTCGTAAAATTTGCAGAGGAATACAAAGCTTCTAATCTATACAGAATTTACATAACACCAAAATACCAAATACAGAGAGATAGACTGATAGAGAGAAGAAATTGTCCAGTTAACAACTAACACCAAATTGAAGTCAAATTTATTAACATCAAACTTAAGTTACTTAACACTGAAATACTGAATCCATAAAAATTAGCTCCAAACCGATCTATCAGCTCTCTCCACGTAGAGAGTGACTGTGAGTCTGTGACGGATCTATTTCCCAATTTGAGCCAACACATTCTGCAGTTACTTTGCTTAATCACAATTGCAGCCAAATTGTATGCCTGTATTTGTTCCATTGAATCATTCTAACATGTTAAAATGAAATAATTAGTGAAGTGTACTCTAAAGTCTAAATTATAAAAGACAATCGCAAATTGTAAATAGCAACTGTTTACTGTTATATTATTTTCATATAATATAATTAGGTTCTATTATTGAAAGTATGTTTAGTTGTTATAGTTATAGAATGAATCATGGTGCTTATAGTTATAGAAAATTAGATTGATTTGCAGCTTACATAATTTCTATTGAACTTGATTGTAGTTTGAACTTTAAAAGATGCCTAGTGAAGGTTCAAGAAAGGATCCGGCATGGAATTACTCACATTTAGAGAATCCGAAAGATACAAATGCCGTCACTTGTAACTTCTGTGCAAAAGTTACAAAAGGAGGTATTTATCGGGCTAAGCAACACTTAGCTGGAGGATATAGAAATGTGAGTGCATGCACAAGATGCCCATCTAGTGTTAGAGAAGAAATCAAAGAGTACATGAGTAAGAAAAAGGAAGAAAAAGAACAAATGAATTTGTTACCTAGTGATGAGATTAATTTCATTGATGGAGAGGATGAGGATGATGTCATGGAAGTTAGCAATCGGGGAAAAAGGGTAGCTAGTGCAGGCAGTGCTAGTGTCAATTCCTCAAAGATGCAAAAGCAAAAGGGACCGATTGATTTATATTTCACTCCCAGACCGGAAATTGTGGTACAAAAAAGAAAGGAAGGGGGAAAACAAACAGCCATTAATGATGCATGCAAGAAAGAGTTGAGAGGAAGAGCGTGTGCTGCTTTTGCAAGGTGGATGTATGATGCAGGAATTGCATTCAATGCTGTTAAGTATGATAGCTTTGCCGAGGTTGTTGAAGCAATTGGACAATATGGTCCTGGCATGAAACCACCTAGTTATCATGAGGTGAGAGTTCCTTTGCTTAGGAAGGAATTGGATAATACCAATGCTTTGATGAATGACCATAGGGAGGAGTGGTCAAAATTTGGATGTTCATTAATGGCAGATGGGTGGACAGACAAGAGAGGGAGAACATTGCTTAATTTCCTAGTAAATAGTCCAAGGGGAACCATGTTTATTGAGTTGATAGATACTTCTTCTTTTTCAAAGGATGGTGACAAGATGTTTGACTTACTTAATAAATTTGTGAACCGCATTGGAGTAGCAAATGTCATCCAAGTCGTCACAGATAGTGAGTCAAGCAATAAGTATGCCGGTAAGAATGTTCAATGTTTATAACTTTTAGAGTTTACATTCTTTACAAATATATAATTTAAATCAACTTTGATTTACTCATTATCTTTATATCATTTTTTCTTTTTTCCGTTTGGTTTCAAATAGGGAGGATGTTAGAGAAAGAACACCCACATTTGTATTGGACCCCATGTGCTGCTCATTGCTTAGACTTGATGTTGGAAGACATTGGGAAAATACCGTCCATCTCTAGAACAATGCAAAGGGCAGTGGAGTTGAATAGTTATATTTATATGCGACCAAAGTTGTTGAACATTATGAGGAACTTTACTCACAAAAAGGAGTTGCTTAGGCCTGCTAAGACTCGATTTGCTACATGTTTCATCACATTATCAAGTATTCACAAGCAAAAGAATAACTTGAGAAAGATGTTTACTTCAAAAGAATGGAATCGTAGTAAATGGGCGAAAGAGGAAGCCGGTAAAAGAGTTGCTTCTTATGTTTTGATGCCTTCCTTTTGGAACAACATTGTCTTTAGCCATAAGGTTTCCGGTCCTCTTATTCCGGTTTTGAGATTAGTTGATGGCGAGAGAAAGCCTCCCATGGGATACATTTATGCGGCTATGGATAGGGCTAAAGAAGCCATTGCAAAATCATTTGGGGGAGTAGAAGATAAATACTCAGATATTTTTGAAATAATTGATAAGAGGTGGAATGTTCAACTTCATCGCCCTTTGCATGCAGCAGGTTATTATTTGAACCCAGAATACTTTTATTCAAATTCGAAAATTGAAGAAGATGAAGAGATTGCAAAGGGTTTGTATGCATGCATTGCAAGGTTAGTCCCGGATGTCAAAGACCAAGACAAAATTACTGAGGAGCTGTCCTTATATTCTAAAGCTGAGGGCCTCTTTGGTAATCCCTTTGCTATTAGACAGAGAAGTACACGAGGACCAGGTAAAGTGGTAAAGTATATTAAGTTAGTATAGCTAAGTGTTAAAATTATTTTGACAATAGAGTCGATAGAAAGATGAAGCTAAAGTTGCTAAACATCATTATTAATTTTTTTTTAATAGCTAATTGGTGGGAAGCTTATGGCAAGTCAACAAAACTTCTCCAAAAGTTTGCTATAAAGGTTTTAAGCCTTACTTGCAGCTCTTCTGGTTGTGAACGAAATTGGAGCGTGTTTGAGCATGTAAGTATATACTATTTAGTATTTACTAACTAGGTTTGTAATTTATTTGTTGAAAATTAAAATTTTAATTTTTTATACTTACTAGTTAAAGTTGAATTTATTGCAGCTTCATAACAAGAAAAGAAATAGGCTCGCTCAAACAACGTTGAATGATTTAGTGTTCATCAAATATAATAGAGCATTGAGGCGTCGATATAATATGCGTGACACTCTTGATCCCATTTTACTCGATGACATTGATGAGAGCAACGAGTGGTTGACAGGGAGGATGGATGATGCTGATGCAGAACATGATCTAGTCTATGAAGATGATTCCTTGAGATGGGGTGATGTTGCTAATTTTGCTGGTATTGGAGAGGCAAGCAGGCCGCAACGGTCTACTAGATCAAAATCTAGTTCTAGTTCACGGTTACCAACAAAGGGAGCAGGAAGTTCTTCAGTTCGACTTGTGGATGAGGATGAGGATGATTCAGATGAGATAGAAGAGGATCCTGAGAATTATGAATCATTTAGTGACGATCAAAATGATGTTATGCTTATTGATGACGAGGATGATATTTAGATTCATTGGTGTTGTCTTCTTAGGAAGAATGATGTTTATGTTTGTTTTAGTTTTATCTTATACTTTTCCTTAGTTGACTTTTGCATCTTTATGTTAATATGTTTAATTATTCACTGTTTTGAACTCAAGTACTTGATTTACTTGGTTTTGGCATCTTTATGTTGAATATTTAACTTAAGTAATTCATTTAGTTGACTTTTACATCTTTCTATATACTATTGCATGATTTGCATCTTGTTTTGTTTTTTTTTTTTTTTCCAACGTGCGCCTTGCTTCAGTCGGGCGCGCGCCTCGCCTTGCGCCTTGCGCCTCAGGCTCCAGGAGGCATTTGCGCTTTTATGCGCCTTGAGCCTTTAACAACTATGGATCAAAAGCTTCTCAATTGACGAAGGCAGGGTGTTCAGGTTTGGTATTTTGCGGTGGGATGTTCGGCAGTGAGAACAAGAGACAGGACAAGAAGGGTGGTGATGTATGGCCTGCCCCTCCATCTTTGGTGTCAGAAGTTATTTGAAGCCATAGGAAATATGTGCGGTGGTTTCAGAGGTCTGGAGGCAGACAATATGGCGGGAGGTGAGAGAGTTATTCTCTATGTTTCTAACGGAGGTGTATTACCGGAGTTTGTTTTCGTCGAAGATCAGAGAGTGGCCTTTAAGGTCGCTTTGACAAAGGAATCTTCACCATCTATCCTTCCGAAGTCTTCTTACGGCACAATCGATGGTCCCCCCTTCAAGTCCGATGAAACGAGATCCAGAAGAGGTCGTCGTTCACGGCAATTTCAGTTTCACCTTGGCCTTCAAGGTCAACGACGCGTGCGCTTCAACGTGCCGTATGCAAGTAGGGGAAGGAGGTCCATGAGAAGTACGCATAACGCTTCCTTCCCTTCCTTTTCAGCCTTTCCTCGATCTAATCACACCATTGGAGGCCATCCACGTGGTCGGGCACGTGGTCATAGAGGTGTCTCCAATGAAATAATGGTAGCCACTGATGGGCATGTTCTAAGTCTTGGGCCTGATAAGCCCATGGCTAATGGGATTCTACCTTGTTACGAACCTCAGGCTCCCAATGAGTTAAAAGAGGAAGGTTTTGTGGGGGGCCAACAAACGCTTATCCATTTCTTTTCCAAATGAGAAGCCCAGCCTAAAGGTCTTGTTAAGGCATAGTGAAGTTTATTCAGACCTTCTCTCCTCGCAACGTAACTCTTACGACTCTTCTGTAAACAGACCGTGGTCCTTGTCGAAGAAGATGAGATGGATGCAATTCAACGCATGCACGGCCGGCTTGAGCACAGAAGAGAAGACCTTTCGACACGATAAGTGTAGTACTAATTTTTCAGTGCCTCTGCCCTTGTCTTGCCGAATGATATAAGCCCTAGATTATCAAATCGAGGCTCTCATCTGATTCGTCATGGAAACAGATGGTCTCGCAATGATAAACAGAAGTGGATCGCTCGCACCTCTTCTACCAATGATTCAAGTATGTCCTCTGTCTCTCACCTTCGGAGCCCTTCTTATGCTCCTTCTTCTTCTTCTACTCCTTGTGGGGTGTTGAGGAGTGGTGTTGAGATGGAGAAGGGATGTCTGCCAACGGTGCCTGAAGGTGAGTCCTCTGGATGTGACAGATGACTAAAGGCCTGCTTTTCTTGGGTATGATGACTCAGATGCTTGTGCTGTAAAGGAATCGTTTGTGGGGATTACGGTTTGTGTGAGACGTGATCTCCATCTTCAGTTGACCAACAACTCTGCTATGGCTTTGCTTAAAGAGCTTCGCCTCTGTGTTGCTTTAAAAGGCTTCATAGTTTCTTGGATCAAGGAATGGGTGACTCTGTTACAGACACGGATTTGCAGACGGATGTGTATGTAAGTGGGAAGGAAAGTGCAACGGAGGTGAACGAAGATATGGCTTCCATTCAACATGTCTATCCTAATGAGTTAGTCCCATGGTTGGAGACGGACCACTCTAACCTAGAAATGGTGGAACCACTGGCTATCATACGACCCGATTGCTCTGAAACGGCTGCTAATCTGGGCAAGGAATGGGTAGTAGCAAACATCGGGGTTACTAGTGAGTTGTTGGGTGTCTCATCAAAGGACAATAGTGATCAGGCACTGTCCATTCTTCATGCAATTATGGAAGGAAGAGAGGTTGCAGTGAACATGCAGAGTACGAAAGAGGTTATTAATAAGAGATCTTTATCGTCTTGGAAAGGGAACCAGGAGGTTAAGAATCTTATCTCTTATGTCAACTATAAAGGGAAGAGGGGCGGTGAAAGAGAGGGGAAGGACTAGAAGTAGGAGTGGAATGAGGGGAGGAGGGGAGATAATCTTATCTGGTTCTTAATGAAGCTACGAATCATTACTTGGAATGTCCGTGGTCTCAACGAGCCGGACAAAAGGAGGGTGGTGAAGATAGCTTTAAGGAAGTGGGGAGCTCAGGTTATCTGTTTGCAAGAAACCAAGATGGCCTTTATTTCTGATGGGGTTGTTAGGAGTCTTTGGGGAGGTAGGTTTGTGGAATGGGAGGCCTTGAATGCTTCAGGTACTTCTGGTGGTATTTTAGTTATGTGGGATCGTAGATGGTTGTCAAGGATGGACGTTTGGATGGGGAGGTTCTCTACGTCCTGGGTGTTCAAGATGGAGGAGGACAACTTCAGATAGGTTTTCTCTGGGGTCTACGGACCAATTGTTGATAGTGATAGACCTCTCTTTTGGGAGGATTTTGCCATGTACAGGGACTGTGGTCTCTTCCTTGATGCCTGGGTAGGGATTTTAATTCTGTTAGGTCTCCGCTAGAGAGGCCCATAGGGGGAAGGTGGTCTTCGAACATGACTCTGTTTTTTGATTTTATTGATGGCCATTCTCTCATTGAACTGCCAATGGAAGGGGCAGCCTTTACATGGTCTAATGGCAGGGACCCGATTACCTTATCAAGGCTTGATAGGTTATTGATCTCTGGGGAGTGGGAAGAGAAATTCCCGGATGCTATTTAGGCGGTTTTAGCAAGGGTTACCTTAGCCACACAATTCGTCCAAAGTGGCCCCGCTCTCAAGCTCCGCACGCGGATTTGCGATTTGGGAGCGAACTCGCACAAAATCCGCGAATTCAATTTTTGCAATTCACGAATTTGTTTTCCTAGTTCGCGATTTCCATACGAATTCACTTTATACAGCTAAATTTGTTACAGTTCTAATGATATGGAACACCTATATTACCATATATATGCATTTATTACTTACACTATTACTTAATATATGGATTAATTACTTAAACTGCACGTGTGCGCCAACTGCATTGGCATTGCTATACTACCATATATATATATATATAATTAATGTTTGAAAATATACTACTAAAAAAACTTCCCAATTGGAGAATATTTCAAATAAACCACACATCTATTAGTGAGAAAAGTTAGCTTATTTATTACATATATCATTAATGGAATAAACAATAATGAATATATTTGCATATGGATTTAAATAAATACAAAATATGTGTCATGAGTTTATATAATTTTATTTAAACCTAATATACAGACGCTCCCGCTTTCGAAAAATTTAACTTTGATGCTTTTGCACTCTCGCTTTCGCTCTCGCTCTCGCTCTCGCTCTCGCTCTCGCTCTCGCACTCGCTCCCGCTCCTAGTGACTTAGAGGGTTACCTCTAATCATGTTCCTCTGGTTCTGGACTGTAGGGGTCTGAGATCTCGGTGCTCCCCGTTTCGATTCGAGAATATATGGTTGAGAGCGGACGACTTCCAATGGAAAGTCCGGTCTTGGTGGGAGGAGGTAACGGTTACAGGTTCTTCCCGTTTTATATTAGCTAGGAAGCTAAGGGCTCTCAAAATCGAGCTTAAGAGGTGGAATAAGGAGGTATTCGAGAATCTTGAATGGAGGAAGAATAGAGTCCTTGCTGATTTTTCTGAGATTGATCATCTTGAAGAGGCGGCTCGGGATGTGGAGTCTCTACGCTCTAGGAGAGCTTCCTGCGAGGCGGTTCTTGCTGAGATTGCTAGTATAGAGGAGTTCTCGTGGCGCCAGAAATCTCGGGCCTTATGGATTAAAGAGGAAGATCGTAACACAAAATTTTTCCACAGGTTTGCTAATGCCCACAGAAGGAGTAATCTCATAGGGCGAATTCGGGTGGATGGTCTGGAGTTGTGGAGGGAGGAAGAGGTGCGCGGTGGGATCGTCTCTTTTTACCAGAAGGTATACATTGAGCCTTTAGGATGGAGACCTAGGCTTAACGGTCTTCATTTTGATGTTATTTCTGAGTTAGATAGAGATGGTCTTGAGTAGGGATGGCAATTTGACCTGCTCCAGCGGTTACCCGCCCCGCCCCACCTCGTTTTTGGCTGTTTTGGGGGACCGTTTTGCTTATATGGGCGGGGATGGTTTCATGTAATAAAAACCCACACGGGTTTGGTGCAGGTGCGGGGGGAGGTCGCCCCGCACCGCCCCGCCCCGTTTAGATAGGCAAATTACTTAAGTACCTTTATTTCAATAGTATATATATTTACCACTATATATTAAGTACCCTATATAACAATATTAAAGTAACAAATGAATTTGATTAAAAGGAAAGTTGCAATGGTGAAGAATTGAAGATGAGGGGAAAAAAAAAAGAACAAATTTATTTCAACAATAAATAAATTATGGTCTAAACGGGGCGGGGCGGGTACCCGCGGGGGTAAAAATGTTAAACTGTTACGGGGATATGGTGGAAAGTTCCCCCGTTTTTGCAGTTTTGGGCAGAGACGGGGGCGGGGTTTTTAAACGGTTGCGGGGGCGGGAGAGGGTACACCCGCCTAAACCTGCCCTCGTTGTCATCCCTAGTCTTGAGGTCCCTTTCTCCGAAGAGGAAGTGCTAAAGGCCTTAACGAGTTGCAATGGTGACAAAGCTTCGGGGCCAGATGGGTTCACTATGCGGTTTCTGATGGAAAGTTGGGAGGTGGTGAGAAACGAGGTGATGGGTACCTTCCAGGAGTTTCATTCTCATGGCGTCTTCGAGAAATCGTTTAATGCCTCTTTCACTGCCCTCATCCCTAAGAAGGGTAACACTT